TATTATTATTATTATTATTCTTTAATATTCGCCATTATTATTACTGCTATACACTCAAATCGGTCTCAATTCACTGCCTTTACTGCGCACCAGCTCATTGTCGTTTTTCATTTACCCTTTACCTATTGTACTTGTTACTTCGCTGCAAATTTATTCATTATACTTTCCAATAACAGGCCGTTTCCAATACCATATAAAGCAGAGTCCGGTTACCCAGCTCACAATCAGTTTCAGCAGCTGCTTTGGTCTATCTCGTTCGCTAAGGGTCTACCCCGTCAACGCCTTCAGACCTGATCTTAGACTCGGATTCAAGCCCGCAGTTCCCCTATCTCCCCAGTCTCATCTGCCTTAATTCTATTACTTCGCATAAAAACGTTAAAATCATTACAGAATTATACAAAGAACGAATAAATCAAAATTCAAAACGATGCGTAACGCACTTACTATCTTGGTTTTAACCTCACTGGTGATCAGCCTGAATGTGCAAGGCTCGTTTCTCGAGTTGGATGATCTCCGTGATATGATCACCGATCAAGCGATCAGAAACGATTTGCGACGTCTCGAACGCGACAGAAGCGACCCGCGAAGCGCAGTGAAGGATGAAGTGGAGAAATTGCTTCAAAAACTCCCCAAGGACGTCCAGGTTACTTCAGTTTTTTAGCTTTACTTCAGTTGCAATCGAACAGCAAAATATATCCATAATACAAATAAATAAGCGAACAAGTAAGCAAACAAAATAATAAATAAATGCACAAGCAAAAGTTTCGTCAATCCACGAATGCAAATGTCGTACCCTGACAATTAGCCCCTTCCCGGACTTTTCGCCAATTTGTGCAAAACATGCGACCCTAGTTCACTAGCCACCCTTATAAACCACTCAGGGAAAGCGAATCTGAGCAAGGGACGGAATGTTTACCGTGTGTTGAAATGAAAATTACGCAGCGAAATTGCGCTGATTCCGTTTTTTTTCAGGATGCTTACAACAAATTGGTTGCTGCTGAAGAGGCTAAAGACGAAGCTGAATATCAAGTCAAGCTCTTGGGAATGAAAAATCGAGGTTAGTCACGCCAGCAACTCAAAAGTTGCCTCGCTGAGGATTCTAAGTGGATTCTAGTCCGCAATTCAGTGTGAATCTGAGCTCCAGCTCACACTCAAGCCTCTAGAGTACGACCTACTTGAAAAACAATCTCAAATTTTGACGAATGACGTGAAAAATATCAGATTTCCAAATGTCGCACAACATTCAAATGTCGTACCCAACATATGAATGTCGCACCGGACACAAATGTCGCACCAGATCAAATGTCGTACCCAGCACAGAAATGTCGCACCAGACAAAAATGTCGCACCCGACATCCAAATGTCGCACCAGACCAAATGTCGTACCAGCACAGAAATGTCGCACCAGACAAAAATGTCGCACCGGGCCAAATGTCGTACCAGCACAGAAATGTCGCACCACACATAAATGTCGCATCGGACAAAAATGTCGCATCCGACATTTCGCCAAAATAATGTTAGACTGCCAGACGCTAGAGACTCGTTAGACACCCAGACTTTTGGCGGGCGTTCCACACACAATGACCAGTGTCCGCAGCAAATCATCATGCGTCACCTGCCAACCCCGCTATCCGCTGCTACACCCCTATGTTTTTACGCTCTTT